GACACAAAAGGGAACAAAGAAAAGAAAATTAGCCATGTTACATAGAGGATATCCAGGCTGAAGACAACACCACAGTGAGGGTGTTGAGGGATCACGTCACAAGGTGTCTGGAGAAGGGGAAGGTACCAGAGGCAAGGAGGAAAAGTTTGACCTTTATCAGAACTGAGAAAAAGGTGACTGAGAACATCAACAGCTACCAATCTGAATACCTACTTTTTTCCTACTTTCTTCTTTATAATTTATAAACATAAGATATTTATGACATTCATCTACGCGTACATTGAGGGCATCCTCAGTGAAGGTATTAGTAGGGAACAGGCAGGCTTTCCCAGTCGATAATGGCCCTATTCCATATTTACCATTTCACAATTGACAAAAATACAGAAAATATAAAATTCCACTATATTTATTGTTTTCAGAAGAAAAAGTATTTGATTCAGTAGAGCAAAATGCCGCCTACAAAGCTTTCTTACAACAACACGTCTCCCACTCATACATAAAAATCATTCAAGATTCTTTGAGAGATATAATAATAGTACAACCCTGTCGAACACCTTCTAATCAGAAACATTGGGAAATTGGGAAATTTATTGGGAAATAATTGGGAAATGTATGTTTACCAAATGTGTTTGTTATGGTAATGGAAATGATCCAGTGAAGAATCTGGACTGAAAAATAGTTCCCTATGGATCATAAGCTAGGAGCAGCTAGGTGTTACAGGTAGACTCATCTTCCTGAGTTCAAATCTAGCCTCAGACACTAACTAGATTATGACCCTGAGCAAGTCACTTAACCCTGTTTGCTTCAGTTTCCTCATCTATCAAATAAGCTGGAGAAGGAAATGGAAACCACTTCACTATCATTGCCAAGAAAACCCCAAATGAGGTCATGAAGAATCAGAGATGACTGAAATGACTGATTAACAACAACGTGGACTGTAAGATCCTCCAGATGATCCTGTTTGTGGATAGAAAAGGGAAGGGAATAAGCATTTATATAGCCATGTATATGTGTGTGTGTGTATGTATATACACACATATACATATATATATATACACACATATGCATATATGTATGTGTATGTATGTATGTATATAATATGTATGTATATATGTTTGTATGTATGCTATTATATATAGCCAGATACTGTGCTAAGTGCTTTACGAATATTGTCTCTTTTGATCCTTACAACAGCACTAAGAGGTGGGTGCTGTTATTTTCTCTACTTACAGATGAGGCAACTGAGGCAAACAGAGGTTAAGTGACTTTCTCAGGGTCACACAACTAGTAAGTGTCTGAGGTCAGATTTAAACTCAGGTTTTCCTGACTCTAGACTCAGCACTCTTAACTACTACGCCACTTAGCTGCCTCATTACAGTGGTTACCACAAGCACAGAAACACTGCAAGAGCCCCCTGGAAGAGATCTGTAATCCTGACTACAGGAAAGACAAAATAGATGAAAGATGGATATTGCCCAGACATGGACGGACAGCCTATGATGTCTAGAAATAATAATATTTACATAGTGCTTCTTATGTGCCGGGCACTGTGCTAAGTAAGCACTTCACAATTATCTCATTTTATCCTCACAACTACCCTGGGAGGTAGGTGTTATCCCCGTTTTACAGATGAGGAAACTGAGATAAACATCGGTTAAGTGACTTGTCTAGAATCACACAACTAGTAAGAGTTTGAGGCCAAATTTTAACTCCTGACCCCATGTCCTCTGTGTCACGTAGCTGCCATAAACCTATAAAGTTTGTCCATCAGTATACATATCGTTGTTGTTGTTGTTCAGTCATGTCAATTGTGTCTAACTGTGACCCCATTTAAGGGTAAAAATATTAGAGTGGTTTGCCATTTCCTTCTCCCGCTTATTTCATAAGTGAGGAAACTGAGGCAAACAGGGTTAAGTGGCTTGCCCAGAGTCACACAGCAAGTGTCTGAGGTCAGATTTGAACTCAGGAAGATGAGTCTTCCTGACTCCAGGCCCAGCACTTTGTCCACTACTCCATCTGGCTACCCTATGCATATAGAACCCAAAGTTAAACAGGAGGAGAGCAGGCTGGATTGCCTTTAAATCACAAAGCTCCTTTAATGACCCCCAAGCTTCTTCCAGAAACAAAGGCCCATCATTTTAATGTCAATATTCTATAAGTGTAGGGGCAGCTAGATGGTGCAATAGATACAGCACCAGCGTTGGAGTCAGGAAGACCTCAGTTCAAATCTAGTCGTGTGACCCTGGGCAAGTCATTTAACCCAAAAGACAACAATCTCCAAAGAATTGAAAATGGTATCCCGGAGGGCAATATCGCATGATGAGCATGAACAGAATAATACATTACCAAAGAAGAACTTTGTTTGTTTTGTTTTTTTTCCTTTTGGCTAGGCAATGGGGTTAAGTGACTTGCCCAGGGTCACACAGCTAGTATGTGTTATGTGTCTGAGGCCAGATTTGAACTCAGGTCCTCCTGAATCCAGGGCCGGTGCTCTATCCACTGCGCCATCTAGCTGTCCCACCAAAGAAGAACTTTGAAGAAGAACAAGAGTCACATCTTTTCTTATCACCTATAATAGGAAAAGATGGGCTGGTCCTGTGTGAGGCTGAGGCATGAATTGTGATGTCAGGAGAAAGCAACGAAAGCTGGGAGAACAGGGACAACAGTTGTACAAGACGGGCCAGAATAGAGCCATGCCTTTAAACTCTGTAAATCTTAAAGCACTAGATAAATATTTTCTATTATTCAATGACAAGTCACAGTTAAGATATTGAGCTAAAGACATAGGCTTAATTTATAACAGTCAGTGATTGCATGAGAACATTGAAGTTGTAAATCTGCTAAATGTGGTGGCTGGCTTCACTCCCCAAATTCACCTAAACTCTTGCCATACTATAGTCTTAACATATGTCCATGGAAGCTGCAGAGTTATAAGGCCCATTGCCCTCTACGGAGAGTCTTTCTAGGCCCTAGAGTCTAGGAAGTAGGACGGTGCTGATGGAAAGCTTTTGCCAATGCTGGGGCATGAAGGTGATGAGCTAGCTCTCAGGTCATCTCTTCTGGTCCACATTCTTTCCATTAAGACCTGGAGGTGATCTCTGCATCAACAGGAATTAATGTTTTCCTCTATTGAGAATTTTTCTTGCCCTTCGATCAGTACTAGGAGAATTCACCAGGTATAAAGCTGTGTTAATGTGTGCATAATAGAGCAATGACCAATGGAATTTAGGGTGAATGTATGTAGACAAAAGGAACTGTCATCTGCAGACCATTTGGCTTACTACTTGCAAATGAGGAGAGGTCCTTTCACTTAACCTACTACCATCTTTGAAGGTCTGTCAGTCTGAAAGGTCTGCGTGTTTGGGAAAGCCTGGTGCCCTATTTACAAGGACTCTCCAGGGTTCTGTGCTTCTGTGTTTGAATCTTTGAGGTCTACTTGGCTGAGTGTAAATTTTCTTACCAATTAGCTGCTTCTAGTGCTCCTAGGTAGCCCTCTATCCCACTTCCACTCCTACCACTGGTGCTGAAGTTCAGAGAGTGAGAAAAAGAAAAGAATAAAAACCATAGTTTGAGAGAGAAAAAAAAAGGCATTGTGTGAAGGAGTGGATCAAGATAATATACTGAATTCTGTAAAGAGGAGACTCGTCATTTTGTAGGTAGGAGATGTGAGAAGGGAGGTATTCTGGTGTGCTATTGGTTCTTTTGGTCTTTTCTATTACATTTGGAATAATATACATGGTGGCTATTGAGTAAGATAGACCAAAAACTATGACACAAATTGGGGAGTCTCAATCTGATGTGAAATAGGATGGGAAGCCATGCTGATGGAGGATTTTTTTTTCCCTTAATAGCATTTTATTTTTTTTCCAGTTACGTGTAAAGATAGTTTTCAACATTCAGTTTTGTAAAATTTTGAGTTCCAAATTTTCCTCCTTCCTTCCCTTCCCAAGACAGCAAGCAATGTGATCTAGGCTATACATGTATAATCATGTTAAACAAACTTCCACAGTAATCATGTTGTGAAAGAAGAATCAGAACAAAAGAGAAAAACTATGAGAAAAACAAAAATGAAAATCGTATGTTTCAATCTGCATTCATACTCCACAGTTATTTCTCAGGATATAGATAGCATTTTCCATCATGAGTCTTTTGGAATTGTCTTGAATCATTGTATTGCTGAGAAGAGCTAAGTCTATCATAATTAATTATCACACAATGTTGCTGTTGCTGTGTACAATATTCTCCCAGCTCTGCTCACTTCACTCAGCATCAGTTCACATAAGTCTTTCCAGGTTTTATTGAAATCCACCTGCTCATCATTTCTTATAGAGCAATAGTATTCCATTATATTCATATACCACAACTTGTTCAGCCATTCCCCAATTGATGGGCATCTCCTCAAGGACACTGTTATTTCAATATGGGACATGTTTAATTTGATATAAATTAGTACTTTTATGATACCATGAAAATGTAGTTCTTTGCCACCTCAAAAAGAGCTGCTATAAATATTTTTATACTTGTGGGTCCTTTTCCCTTTTTATGATCTCTTTGGGATACAGACCTAGTAGTGGCATTGCTGGATCAAAGGGTATGCACAGTTTTATAGCCCTTTGGGCATAGTTCCAAATTGTTCTCCAGAATGGTTGGATCAGTTCACAACTCCACCAATAATGCATTAGTGTTCCAATTTTCCCACATCTTCTGGTAGATCATTTTTAAAAGCTTTCATAGAGTATTTTATTTTCCCCCAGTTACATGTAAAAACAATTTTCAACATTCATTTTTAAAACTTTGAATTCCAAGTTCTGGTAGAGGATTTTCTTGAGTAAATCATAGGTACTTTAGGGAAACCAGTGAAGAGGATTAAGGATACTGTGAAAGCTGTCCACCATTACCACTGTGGAGTCTGACAGACAGCTCTATGACAAGTCCATTGTTACAGATGCTCAGAGTCACTGAGATGATTTCTCTATGGGGTCATTTACTCGCACTCACACTCCATAGGTACGCTGCCAACGTCAGGTTGAGATGAGACTACCAGACTGGAGAGTCTGAGACTCATCTCAGATGAGTCTACCAGGGAAGAGATGAATCGACCAGGTAGGAGAGATGGGGATACCAGTCTGTCATAGTATTCTTAGTACCACACACTAAACTTCCCCAAAAGGCAATTTGATCATGTTGATTAATTGATCATAGATAAAGCATCCCATTGGCTACAATCCCTCCCCATTTGCGGGGATGAGAGTGTCTCACTTGCGTAGATGTTGGACATCTAGGTCTGAGAGCAGGAATCCCATGTCTAGTGTTGAATTAACCTGAGATTTAATTTGGGTTGCTTGATTATAAGATTCTTCAAATATACTATTACATGCACAGGTGGCTGAGGAATGAGGTAGAAACCATCTCAGCTTTTATTAAAGGGTATCTGCTCAGTAATTGGGATGACCTGGGATATATACTGCAGAGAAATTAAACTAGCTAGAGAAAAGTGACCACTTTATCTGTTGCTAGTTGAGTTTTCCAGCCTCTTAGAGATGCCCCAGACTTTTGTAATCTAGCTAAATTACTGGTGATGGAAATGAACCTTACATGCTCTTTTCCCCAAATGGTATAGTTTTTGCTGATCATAAATTACTTGTGAATAATAAACAGAGAAGAAAATTGACGTACCTCGGGGGAGAGACCAGCTTGGGAGAAGAAAAAGTGCAAAAATGTAAGAATGGGCATAACAGCTATATAGCACCTCCCTTATAGGAGTGTTGTGATAATCAAATGAGTTAAAATAAGTAGAGTACTTTGCAAATGTTTATTCTTATTGTTAGGTTGGAGGCATCTGTGGAACATTGGACTTTCATAGGTCTGGATACATTAGTACCAGGTCACAGGGATAGAGAAGGGATGGATGAAACCCTTTTGCAGATTTTCCTCTAGGAATTCCTGGAACACTTCTATTTTTGTTGTTGTTCTGTTCAAGTAATAGATGCAACTTAAGGGAATAGGGACAACTGAGATCAAATCAACCAATCACAAAGTCCCATGTTGAGTAAGGGAGCAGCATCTCTACCTTACAGGCATTTAGCTCTGAAGAGGGACTAATTCTGGAGTATTCTTGAGGATTCTAGTTACAAGAAAGTGACTTGGTATAAGACCTTTCTTTCATCCAACTCACCTCCGTTTCTGTTAGCAGAAGGTAGAGTGAGTGCTTCTCTTTCCCAAGAAATGCTTTATTGCTATCAGGCTGAACAGCCAGTGTCCAAGACTGCAGTAAACATGGGGAATCGGATGACATCTAGACTGAAGATTCTCCCCATGTTCGTCCAATTTTGGACCAAAAAGACTTAATTTCTTGTTTCTCCAATCCTGATCACAAAAGCTAGTCATTAATGGTCTCCAGTTACAACCAGCCTAATTTAGTATTATAGCAATGCTTACTCCTTTCAGACCACTTTTCATCTATGAAACTGGAGTAGGCTTCTGAGTCATCAGATGCTGGACTCAGAGATCCAATTGTGTTTAGTTTTATATAGGGAACTTTTTTTTTTTAGTGAGGCAATTGGGGTTAAGTGACCTGCCCAGAGTCACACAGCTAGGAAGTATCCACTGAGCCACCTAGCTGCCCCTGTGTTCAGTTTTAGATGAAGGGAATTCAGTGGGATGGTTTTCAGGGTGAGTAGGGAACCAGGGGTAGATTTGGTTCTTTCAACAGCTCTCTCGCCTCTGAACCCTGCTGTTTCCTATTTCCCTTAGGTCCTCGACTGAGCATATTGCTTGAGAGGACCTGAGCAAATTGCAACATAAACATGTCCTCTCCACAATGGCTCATTCTTTGGTGTCAGTTTGGTCCAGGAATCCTCTTTATGCAGGGTGACCACCCCGCCAAGAAACATCACGCTGTCGCATTGTGGTCCAGGTTCCCTTGTAGGGAAATACTCCGAATTTGTAGTTTTGACAACTGGTGTTGAAGAATGCTTGCCCCAGATGCCAGTTCCTCTAGAAAGGAGATGGGGCTGTGATGAAGTGTGGAAAGGTTGTGCTGTTCAAATCTTGTGCTTGGGGAGTGGGGAAAAGAGAGTTTCCTGTAATGGTGGTTACTGTGTAACCACGACCTGTGTACAAATCACTAACTCTTCTTTTGTTCTCTTTGTTTCAGGTGATGAAGGGAAGTCAAAGTTTGTTTTATCAAACCTTGAACATTACACAATCCACCCAAATTTGGTAGGTGGCAAGATATCTTCCCTAAATTTTACTTCCTCTCCTCCTTCAGGAGCCAAGCAGGGGTTTAATTATGATGCTGAATTTGGCCCCTCCTGACACCAGCTCCCCAGCTATTGCAGGGCCGACCTCTCTCCTTTTTTTTTTTTTAAATTTTTATTATTTTGCATGCATAATTTCTTTTTCTCTTTAAAAAAATAAAATAAGCCATTGCAAAACTCAGGCTAACCATTAAGTACACACTACAGCCTCTCATTCAGAAGGATTTTGCTTTACTTATATGCAAGCAGAGATAGGGTTTTTTTTTAATATCCTGTATCTTTTCATCCCATCAATGTTGATAATTCTTCTGACAGCAGATGATAGCATCCCAAAGATTGAATCGCTGCAAAGAAGTACAAAAGTATTTTCCAATATGTTTCCTCCTCCCCTTATTCTCTGTGGATGAGATTATTTCCAGTCCAAGAGCAAAATCATAAAGTATTGGGAAGAGCACTGGAATCAGAGGCTCTGATTTCAAATCCCAGCTTAGCTATTCTTAGTGTGATCTTGGGCAGAGGTTGGACTAAATCAACTCTGAGATTCTTTCCTCCTTAACATTTATGATTCTAAACATTCATAGATGAAAAGTGATCTGAAAGAAGTAAGCATTGCTTTAAGATTAAGTACCTACTATGGGGCAGGTATTGTGCTAAGTGCTGGGGATTCAATTCCTCATGCCACAATTTCTCTTTTACCTTGTTCTGAAGCTAAATGTAGTTTTAAAGTATAGTTTCATTTAGCCTCTCTGGGCTTCAGTTTCCTCATCTGTAAAATGAGAAAAAAACCCTTCAGCTCTAAATTCTAGGCTCTGTCCCTCTGGTATGGCCATCCGATTCTGCCCTGCTACAACTGGGTGGTAATTAAAGAAGGTGAGGGAGGCTTTCATGTCAGCTCATGTTCAAAAAAAAAAAGTTGGGATTCACCCTGAATTCATTCATCCAACATTTATTGAGCCCCAACTACACACAAAACATTGTATTATTGGGTTGTCTTACCTACCTAGTCTCTTTTTCTACAAATACCACACACACAGGCTTCTTGTCACCCTTTTGTAACTTATTTCCAAATTCCAGTTGCCTTTTCAGATCATAGACTAGGACTGAAAGGGACCTTAGAGTTCAATTAGTCCAACCCCCTCATTTTTACATTTCCATTGTACTATGCTACTTTGCATATTCATTTTATCCTGATTTCACCCGGCTAAAAATATTGGGAGAGGTCAGTGAGAAGAATGTGCCATATAGTGCTATTTGCTCTGGCTCAGAGATGCCTCTTAGGACGACCCTGTCAAGTGATAATCCTTGAGGATCCTTGGTGCCTAGCCCTTCTTCTGCCCTGCCATAGCGAAATGGTTTGCCTAGAAGTTCTTATTCCGGGAAACCTTAAGGAACGCCTCTCAACTACCAAATGCAAGATGGTTCAGAACATATTGAAGACTCAAAACTGCTGTTTAAACAAAAGCCATGATTCCACCTTTTTTGTTAGGACTTATTTCCCTAAAGGTTAGCACATAGACTCATTAATACCACAGATGTGGTAGAGCCCAGGAATTTCTATTGCCTTCTCAGAGATCCTTTTGAGACTCTGAGTGGAGAAGCTATTTGTAACAGGATGTGGCTAAAGGGAGGAGATTTCCAGAAGCCAAGGCCTGAAATCTTTCAACTTCCCAGTGATGAAAATCTATTTTTTCTGGTGCCACAAATACACTGAGAAATTAATTTTTGTTCTATCTTGCAGTGTGGTGTTAATGGAAATAATGACTTGAAGACTGCCTTTGTTCCTTGGATAATTTCTTTCAAAAAAAAAAGATAATATGACTCACTTTTATTAGTATTTCAGAGATAATCATCCTGTACTTATTCCTGCATTGGAAACAGAGCAGTTGTTAGCAAAAAGTTCTAGGGAAGATGGGAGATGTGGGGAGTGGAGAAAGGAGAGGTTGGGAAAATCGACTCTATAGCTTAGGATGAAGGGCACTACCATAAGTGCTACATTTGGAGTCAGAGGAGCAGGGTGTGAATCCTGTTCTGGCCACCTATATTACCTGTGGGACCTGTGTGGGCACAAGTCATTCGTTTAACTTCTCTGAGATTAAGTTTCCACATCCAGAAAACAAAGGGGATGACCTAAATCATCTCAGAGATCCTTGCCTGCCTCAAATCTATGATTCTAAACATGTCTGTCTTACAATACTTCTGTGCCACAATTTCTCTTATGTTTGCTATATGCTAAATGTAGCTTTTTGACTGTGGAAAAAAAACATATGAATTAGAGAGAAAATAAAATTCTCCTGCTGAGCAGCCACCTGCTTCATAGGAGTTAACTCTTCTTGTTCCTTTTTCCTAGAACTTCTAAAACTCCTTAGCAATTTTGGTATGCCTTAGCATCACCAGCTCAGGCTTAGAGAATATTTGTTCCAACCTCTTTGTTTTACAGATGAGGAAATTGGCCAGAGGTGAAATGTCTTGCCCAAGGCCACACGTATGAACAGAACTAGTATTTGGACCCAAGCCTCAGATTTCAAATCCAGCCTTCTTTCCACTGTATTTTATACTCATTCTGCTAATCTATAGAATAGATCTCCTCCCAGCTTCTACTTGGCACACATCCTTTCCCGAAAGATCCAGGGAATGTGGCCCCATTGATGGTCAGCCTTGTTGTACTCTTCCTCTAATACCTTTTTCTCTCTGGACACTTTCCCCTCTGCTCAGATCCAGTATTATGAGCCTCTCAAGGTCACAGAATCGCACAAGTTATTGGGTAGAAACCGAAAAATCAAAAGATTCATGTCCCGAGTGACAGAATTTGACCAGAATAAGACGTTACTGATTATGACCAACAACCCACCTCCTAGCCCACTCAATTGGCAAGGAAAGGACAACCCACCCTGCTACTTTTCCCAGGAGCTGCTTCACAAGGTAATTAATTGCATTTGGGGAGGCTCCTGGTCTTCTTTGTGATGAGTATGACAAGATAGTACTGGGTGGAGAAATTAGCTTGTGTGAAAATTAAATTATTAGACTGCAGTTTTCTTTTTAAAATAATTATACTGCATTTCAACATTTTAAAAAACATTTTGAGTTCCAAATTTTCCCTCTCCCTCCAGCTCCTTCCCCACTCATTGAGAAGGCAAGCAATATGATATCACTAATACATGTGAAGTTCTGCAAGACATATTTCCATATAAGCCATGTCGCAAAAAAAAAAGAAGCAATAAATAAAAAGTAAGTGAAGAAAGTATGCTTTAATCTGCACTCAGAGTTCATCAGTTCTCTCTTTGGTGGTGGATGGCATTTGTCATCATGAGTCCTATGGAATTGTTATACTGCAGTTTTCAATTGTCATTCCCAGTTCTCTTTCCCAAAGCTGAGACAGAAATGACTCCTCTGAGCCAAAGCAGTGGCTGGCATGGGTGTTGATACTGCTCGGACTCCCCCAATCACAAGGGAGTGCAGGGGCTCAGTAGAGAACAATCCCTGATCATATTGGAGAGCCTTCGTTTACAATCCAAGAAGGGCAAGAGGGGCATGTCTGCAATGTTTGGGAACCCACAAATTAAACCAACACCACCAGCTTCCCTAGTGGGAATGAGAAAGAAAACCTTTATTATTAGAGAGTAGTAAACAGAAAGAAGTATTCTGAAGGGAAAGGAGTAGAGGATCGAAATGATTTATGAAGCTTGGGAAAGGAAATTCTGAGCTCTTTTTCTTACTCATAGAAGTGTCTTTCAATACTGTCAAAGTGAGGCTCCTTTGCAGAGATCCTTTTAATCATCTCTTGTCCTCCCAAGTCTGTGGACTGACTTCATTCTCTCAAATGCCTGGTTTTTGTCCCAGTATCCCCAAGATCCTTAGTATCTTGTTGCTGGAAATCAGCGATAACTAGCACCACAGATCCATCACCTGAAGTTTCCTTTAGAGGCCACCAAAGGAAGGTAGTATTAACATGCTAGCTGGCCCAACCCATGAGACATCAATATGTATTAAGCACCTACTATATGCCAGGCACTGTGCTAGGTGCTGGGAATATACCTCCTACTATTTCTACCAAATTTTTCTCTTTCTTAGGGTAAACAACCACCTAAGTGCTGCTCTAAAAAACAGTCAGATATACTCACCCTCAGAGAGCCTATAGGAGGCTCAGTCAGTTACTGAATAGCCCAGTAAGGCTTTGGGCATTGGGCAACAGAAAAAGATAGGTCAGTGATCTTTGGAAGGTAACAGCAGTCCAAAAGAGCCAATGTCCTCATTTTCAAAAAAGGGAAGAGAGTCTGAGAATTAGATATCAGTGAGTTTTGTTTACTCTGTTTCTCAACAAAATTCTAGAGTGTGTTATTAAAAGGATTTCATGAACATCTAGAGAAGGAAATGGTGATCTCAGACTGTTGGCTAGCATGATTTCATCAAGAACTTGCCGTAATAGACTGGGCTCATTTTTTTTTGGACAGGGTTACTAGGTTGGCAAAATCAGGAGAACAAACTAAATGTAAACTAAATATAGTTTACCTAGAATTTCTAAAATATTGAACAAAATTCATCACATTGTTCTTATGGAGAAATGGAGGGATGTGTGCTCAATAAAGCAGGTGGATTTGGAACTGCTTAAATGACCTGACCTAAAAAGCTTTCATAAATGAGTCAAGGTAGGGACAGCTAGGTGGTGCAGTGGATAGAGCACCGGCTCTGGATTCAGGAGGACCTGAGTTCAAATCTGACCTCAGACACATAACACTTACTAGCTGTGTGACCCTGGGCAAGTCACTTAACCCCATTGCCTAACCCCCCCCCCAAAAAAATAAATGAGTCAAGGTTACCTGAAAAAGAGGTTTTTAGAGGATTGTCCTAAGGAATCTGCGCTTGGTCCTGTACCATTAAAAATTTATTTAACCATGACTTGACTAAAGGCATGTTTATCAAATTTACAGGTGACACAAAGCTAAGCAGGATAGGTAATATGTTGGATGACAATCAATTAAAAAATATATATACATATGTATTTCTGACAGGCCAGAACATTGGGTTGGATCAAATAAGATTACATTTGATAGGGATGATAAATGTTATATCTTATACTTGGATTCAAAAACTCAATATCAAAAGTACAACATACTAGACACAGTATATCTAAAAAAGTTTAAGGGGTAAGGAATTCTTAACTTGGGGCTCATTAACTTTTTTAAAATATCTATTTGGTTGCCTGTACTTCAATATAACTAGTATCTTTTCTAATCCTATGCATTTTATTTTAATTTGTTTAAAAATTCAATTCTGAAAAGGGGCCCACAAGTTTCACCAGATTACCAAAGGAGTTCTTGGCTCCCCAAAAGGGTGAAGACCTCTAACCTAGGGAATTTAGTGGATGGCAAGTTTGTTGTGAATCAAGTATGTTACAAGAGCAAAATGACCCCCAAACCTTAATATAACCTTAGGTCATATTAATAGAGGAATAGCGTCCAGAGCTAAGGAGATAAAAGTCCTGTTGTAGTTTGCCCTAAACAAACCATCTCAGGATTATTATGGTCAGTTCTGGGAACCACATTTTAAGATGGGCCTTGATAAGCTGCAAAGCATCCAGAAGAAAGTAACATGGATTAGGAAAGGTCTTTAGGTTGCACTACACGAGGATTGGTTGAAGGAACTAGAGATGTTTAGTCTGGAAAAAAACTTGCTGTGGGCTGCCATGATTGTCACCAAGCATTCAAAGGACTGTTACATAGAAGAGGGGTTGGATTTTTTTCACTTGGTCTCAGATAGCAGAAATAGCAGCAATGGATAGGAGTTGTAGAGGCAGATTTAGTGTTAATTAAAGGAAACATTTCTGGCAACTAGAGCTAGTCAGAAGTAGAATGGGCTGCCTCTGAAAGTAGGTTGTTGGTTTCTCCCTCAGGAGAAGTCTTCAAGCAAAGGTTGGATAACCACTGGTTGGGTATGATTTAAGGGGGTTCTTGTTCAAATGTGGGTTAGACTTGGTGGATTCCGATGCCCCTTCCAACTCTGAGGTTCTATAAGTCTGAGGTTTTACCAGTCCTTTTGGGAACAGCCCTACTTTGGTTGGATGCTGACATCATGCTTTTTCAGGTGTCAACTCCTTTGTGTGGAACTGGAACCCAATCCATGTTCCAGTCCCACAACTTTAAAAGCCCAAAGTGCCCATCTTGCCTTTTCACATACTATCATTTTCCCTTCCTCAGCCACAGGAGCAAAGGAAAATCACAAGTCATGCTGGTCTCCCTCTGATGAAGAAGAAATTAAAGACTGAACCCAGGACTCCCTTTCCTGTAATAATATTGGAGGATGCTAAACCTAAGTGGGAGCAGTGGTACAGGTGAAGCCCCAGCCCTTTCCCTAAGTCAATTTCCCTTCTACCTCTTGGGGTGGGGAGAGCCTCTAGATCTCCCTTATTCATGTGTTTGAGCATTTTATTGGATTTGGAGCCTAGTGTAGAGGCCAACTGGGGAGAAGGGTGATTCAAGAATTGCTACACCATAGCACAGAGAGTTCTGGGTCTGGAGTCAGAAAGACCTAGGTTCAGATCCAGCCTCAGACATTTACTAGCTTTGTGACCCTAGACAAGTTCATGTCACCTCTCTTTGCCTCAGTTTCCTCAAATGAAAAATAGGGATAATAATAGTACCTACCTTCCAGGACTGTTGTGAGGATCTAATAAGATTTATAAAGCACTTAGCACAGTGCCTGGAACATAATAAGTGCTTAATAAATACTTGCTACCTTCTTTCAACCTCCTTCCCTTCTTCCCTTCCTTTTCTCCTTACTCCCTTCTTTCCCTCTTTTCTTCCTCCCTATATTACCTCCTTTCTTTCCACCTTCCTTTATGTGCTTGTAAGTCCTATAGTGCCAGTTCCTGGATGCATCATAGAGCTCCTAGTAACAGCTATTACCACCACCCTTACCTTACTCCTTTCCTCCACAACATCCTCTAAGATTCCATAAGCCTCTTTTCTCTCAACTCCCATTAATCATAGCCTCTTCTCCCCCTCTAAAACCCAGACAATGCAATTAACTTTTAACTGGCAGATCCCTTCTATCATGAATCTTGGCTCTGGCTCCACTAAATGAATTTTCCCTGTTAAGGTTTTCCACCAAGGCTGATTTCAAGAGTGAAGCCAAGTTTTCAAAGCTCCATGCCCTAAAGAAGCAACAGGAAGAGTATCCTGAACTTTCCTTTGTTCCAGATTTTAGGTCAGGTAAGAAGAAAAATGGCGAAGCCTGCCTCCCTCTTTATTAAACCATTGCTTTGGGGGCTGGATGTGAGTAGACACTAGAACTCATTTGGAGAACTGGTAAAAAGAGGTTTGATGAATGTCCAGAGTGAAGCTGCCTGTCACTTGTTCATACCCCTTGGGGATCAAGGCAGGAGAGGATCTGCTTCAAATCCCAACTCTAATGATTACTACCTGTATGACCTTGGGCCAGTTAACTCCAGTTTTCTCATTTGTAAATGAGATGGCCTAGATTGCCTCTGGGGGCCCTTGTAACAGTAAGAAATTGATATGACATTGGACTTGGAGTCCGAAAGTCCTGGGTTCAAAGCCCAGCTCAGATATTTACTAGCTGTGCCTCAGTTTCCAGATCTGTAAAATAAGAAGGTTGGACCTCTTGAATTGTAAGGTCCTTTCCAAACTCTAAATCTGTGATCCTATAATCCTTCCATCTCTAAATCTCCTTTAATCCCTAGGTCTCCAGATTCCAATGGCAAACTAAATAAATTTTTGAGATTTCCCCCTTTGCTCACTGAAGAACAATGAATTAATCACACAACAATCAGTAGCTGTCATAGAGGGGATTCATCTAGTTCTGTTTGGCGTCAGAGAGCTGAACTCGAGTTGAAGTTATAGAAAGCAGATATATGGAGGGAAGGAAAAATCTTCCTTCACAAATTAAATTAACAATTAAAACTGTCCAAAGTGGAATGAGAGTTTCCCCCCTTACTAGAAGCCTTCAGACAAAGGCTAGATGACATCTCCTTGGGCATGTTATGGAGTATATTCTGTTTCAGGTAGTCATTGAAGTAAATTCTTTCTGACTCTTTAAGAGTCTGTGATTCTAAGTGGAGAGGTACAGATAGGCAGAGGCAAGAAGGACATTTCAAGTAGGTTCAAAGCTTGGCTGTCCTCCATGCCTAAAACAATTTCCTTAACTCTGCCTCCTGCTAGCTGACTTCCTTTAAGTTTCAGCTAAAGTCCCACCTTCTGCAAGAAGCCTTTTCCAGGCCTCCTTTATCTTAGTGCCTTCCCAATGTGACTGCCATACAATTTATCTTGTCTATATCTTATATGTACTTAGTTGTTTGCACGTTGTCTCCCACATTAGACAGGAAGCTCCTTGAGGTCAGGGACTGCTTTTTGCTTTTTTTTGTACCCCCAGCACATGTCTGGGGATACACTTGTACAGAATGCCTGTCACACAGTAGACTCTTAATGTTTTTTGACTAAGGGCAGAATAGAGGAGGATAATACGATCTGAAGAATGCACACTGATATTGACTAGCTGACTCACCATGGAAAAGACAGGCGGTAGGAATGAGTCTCATGACTTGGGAATACAGAGTGCCTCCTTCCTCCCAATATAGTGCCTGGCACATAGGAAGAGATTAATTTTCAATTTGATTCAATAAATATTAAGTGGGCCAAAGCAGGGTGCTAAGCTAAGGAGATACGAAAGAAGGCAAAAGAACAGTCCCTGCTCTCAAGGAGTTTACAATCTAATGGAGGGGGCAACGTTGCAAACAAATATATACACAGCAAACTATGTACAGGATAAATAGGAAATAAGAGAGAGAAGGCACTTGGAATCAAGAGGGCTGGGGAAGGCTTCTGGTAGGCGGTGGGATGTGAGTAGACTCAAAGGAAGCCAGGGTTAATAAATGCTTGTTGACTGGCTGACGGATGATGACAGCCTCGCTTGAGGAAGTGCAGAGACCTTCAGCTGGGATTTTTGAGTCCTTCTCCTTAGTTACATGTTCAGGGTGTATCATCCCTGGAGGCCCCTTCTTAAGGCTTTCTCTGGTTGCAGCGGCCAGGGACCAGGCTACCCGAGGGAAGGTCTCCACGGTAACCTGGGAGCCGTTGACCCTCGACACACTCCTGGAAGAGAAGCCGACGCTGACCGTGCCCTTGCCAAGAGAGAGCCCCTTCCGCTACGGGAGGGCCACGCAGTGGTTCATAGACAGGACCATGGTTCCCGACTGAGCCACGCAAAGCTCCCAATCGAGGACACCCACTGCCATGGACCTCCAGAGTGCGGCCGGCTGAGCTCTGGGCCTCCTTGTGACTTAGGCGAGCCAGCCTTATGCCTGGGAAGGCTGCAAAGGAACTCGTGTGTCTGTCACACAGAAATTCTGCGGGCCAAGCTCCCGGCTTTGGAATTAGGAGCTGTTAGTACAGACTTGACCCATTTTTGCTTTATGTGTGTGTGTGTGTGTGCGCGTGTGAGGGAGTGCATATGTTTGTGCGGTTGGGAAAAATGTTAGCACAGAGGGAAAGGCGTGACTGCGAGGCAAAAAGGGGCGAGGGAGGTCACTTAAGGCAGAGCAGGGGAAAGAGGCGGAGTTTCCACTAGAGTGACGGATGAACTGCCCAGCCAGCTTGAGGAATGGGGGCCGGGCTTCCGGTTGAGCCTGTTCCTCTCGGCTGTGTAGGCTCGGACGGTTCCGGTTGGCCTAGAGATCAGTTGTCGCGGGAGATGATTAAAAAATTCGACAAGAAGGACGAAGAGTCTGGTACACGCAGGGACCTGGGGAACGCCTCCGATCCCCGCTTTCCCAACCCTTCCTCCTCGTAATGCGGGGGCGGAGGGGAGGGGGCGGTGCGTCTTCTTCCTCCTGAGAGCGGGACGGAGGGAAGGTGGGAGGACTGGGCGGGGCTGAGAGCGGCTCGGAGCTGGAGTCCCTCCTCCTCCGCTAGTGCGAGCCCTTCGCGTGGCCCCTCCCCCAACTCGAGACCCTCCCTTCCCCGTTCCCCCTCCCGTTCCGGCCGCGCGCTCCCTCCCTGGGCTGCCCCACACCACTGGCCCCGCCCCTCTGCTCCTGCGCGCTCGAGCCCTCCCCTAGCCGGCCCTCGGGCGCATGCTCCCGCTGCGCTGCCCCTCTCAGCCCTTCCCCTCCGGCCCCGGGGGTTGGTGGCGGAAAGGAGGCGGGGCCATGGCTGGAGGCGGTCGAAGTGAGCTGGGGAGGGGGCGAAGGGGGGGCCCCACAGAGGGCGAGCCGAGCACGGCGTGGGGGGCTTGGGGGGCTGGGGTGAGAAGCGTGAGGACCCTCCGGACCTCTGATACCTAGGGCCGTTGCTCTTTCGTTCATATTCCCGGGGGGAAGCGAGAGCTCGTACACGCCGGGCGTCCGACCTCCTCGTGGGCCGTCCAGCCCAGCCGGGCTTTGGGGTGCGGGGGAGGCGGAGGGTGGGAAACTCGGAAGATTTAGGAAGGACAGACGGGATCGCGGTCTTATTTAAAGGGCCCTCTAGTGGAAGACGGATTAGATTTGCCCTGCTTGCCCCCAGACCCAAAATGTGTCGATTGTCAGATGTGCTTTGGCGTCAGTGGAAAGGAGCTCCCCACAATTAGGGCTGCCCCAAACTGGCCTGGGCCGGCCCTGGGTACAGTGGATTTCCTTCTTCGAGGACGTCTTCAACTGAAAGTTGGAAGTGGAGGGTTCTTCGGTTTTAGGCTGGGAGCCCCGAGGCCCCTCCAGCGCCGAAATGCTTTGATTTTGTCCCCAGCTGAGAGGTGCTTTTCCAAGGGGAAAGTGCTATTCCCTAAACCCTACCACCTGTTGGGAGGACGGAACGCCTTTGACCTAGGAGACTGTTGATATTCAGGCCTGAGGCTCGCGGAGGTCAGGAAGAATTTAGGCCTTGATCTTAGCTGAAATGGAGGCCGTGCCAAGACAGCTGAAAATTCACCAGTACCTCTTAATTATCAGTGAGGTTCCCCCCTCAGTTTTGCTTCTCTGTTACAAAGTTATTGAAATAAGAGCTTATCTAAAGAGCTAAAAGTGCCCTAGCAGTTTGATTAATTCTTATCACAATGCCTCATAGAATTGGAAGGGACCTTGAAGCTCATCTAGTCTAACTCATGAGTCTCATTGAGCGTATCATAAGATGGTAGATTTAGAGCAGAAACTGCCTCATGCCAGCTCCTTCATTTTACCCATGAGGAAATGAAATATGAATAGTGATAGGAAGCTTACTGAGCTCACGCTTTCTACTTTCGGATACCATAAATTGTTAGGAAGTGTTTTCTCTTCAGTCTACACCTAATAATGTCTGTGTATTTGATAGTTCTCAGTTTTGTCCCAGAAAATCTCAGAAGAATTTGTTCCAGGATACTGGTTTTATAGCTTGGGCTATCAGCCCCTTCCACCTGCCCCTAGGACTACTGGGACATAGATTTAAAAATGAAAGGGATATTAGAAGTCATCAAGTTCAACCTCCTCTTCCTCTGAACACACTTTTTGCAGAAGCAGAAACTGAGGCACAGAGAGGTCAAGTGACTTGCCCAGGCTCACACAGCAAGTAAGAATCCGAACTAAGATTTGAACTTTTGTGTTCCTATTTCAAAGCCCAGCATTCCATCCTTTACACCATAATGTAATTCCTGTTTCAGTCAGATTATTGGTGAGTGTTCCAAAATCAGGAGGTGTGTCAGCAGAGCTAGAAATAGAACCAAGGTCACTTCATTTCATCTACAAGCAACTTGTAATGCCTGCCATTTTGGTATCCAGATGCTCAGGCTCTTAAAAAGTTTTCCTGAATTTGTCTCCATATTTTTTTCCTTTTGTTCCAGTTGCTTAATTGTTGGCAAATGAATTTTCCTGTGGTAGTTATCCATGCTATTTTTGTTTTCTTTTTTAGGTAGTGGCTCTAATCCTTTTCAGCATTTGGAAAAGAGTGCTGTTTTGCAGGAGGTATGACTTAGAAGTATATTGTCTTTTATGTTTGTTTTCCCTAGAGTGGGATCAGAACATCTCAAGGAAACATTCATTCGGAGTTCATGTTTTAGCTGTCCTGACTGAAAAATGTTTTGTTAGAGTTGAATTAAGGTATATAATGAATGAGATAAAATAATATAGCCTAAAGGAAAAAAGAACAATGGTGGTTTTTGTCATAGGATATTGGAAGATAAATGTGCTATGATGCAATGAAAAATTTGGTATAAAAGATGTCAAACATGTACTTTGTATAAAGCTGCTGATGGAAGTTATAAATGTTAAATTTCATACCAGCTTTTTGAAGTGCCTTAGTGTTGTGATTCTTATTTTGAAAAATGAAACCCTGAGATGATATTACTTGGACTTTATGATAGAAGAGTTTAACAACATTCTTTATTTTGTTGAAGACCATTTATTGGAATTTGTGATTGAGAAGGAAAAGATACCATGTATTTATTGTGCTCCCATAGGCTCGTATCTTCAATGAGACTCCTATCAATCCAAGACGATGTCTACATATTTTGACCAAGATCCTTTATTTACTGAACCAGGTAAATGAAGCTTAGAGAGGCAGTTCTCTTTTCTGGGTCTTAGTTTTCCTAATCCATAAAATGAAAGGGTTTGACTAGATGAGCTCTGAAGGTCTCTTTGACAGCTAAAATCCTATGGTTTTTTATTCTTTCAAAATTTGTTCCTTTGTATAGAAATATCTAGTGCTCAGTTAAGTACTTTGAGGAAAATTTTTTTTATACTCTTAAAAACCTGTTTTTAAAGGTCAGCTTTTTTTAAATCCAAAAAGTTGATTTTAATTTAATAACAAGATTGAAAAGTCCTTGAGGGCAGAGACCATATACCTTTTTGGTGTTCCCCTAAATCAGTTTATCCAGGTATTTATTAAGCACTACTCTGTATCAGGCCTGATACTGTGTGCTGAGGACACAAATATCAGTCTTTGACCTCAATAAGCTTGAATATACTGCTAGCTATATATGATATGCACTCAAATATGTTTTGGTTTGAAATTAATAACAAGTAATTTATTGTAGAAATATTTTTGCTGCATTTGTTCAGAGGTTTTTATGTTCCTTTCAAAATATAATTTAAAAAACTAAACAAACTTCTGATAAGATTTACTAGCCTTCCTGCATATTAGGTAGGCAATGTATGTTATACTCAAAGTTTAATTTTTCAAATGCTGGGAAATTTTTAGTTCAGAAAGAGCTATCAGAAGTCTAGAATCTTAGTAAATGTCACTTTCAGTCATTATCAAAAGGTGGCTGTTGTGATGGTTGAACTCACTTGTTAGTAAGACAGGTTATTAGCAATTTAAGTTCATAGGAGTATTTTTGCTTCACTCTATTTAGACCAAGCATCTTAATCTGCATTCTCGTCAGCTTTTTCCCAAATTTGTGTCATTGGTTGGAGGAAAGTATGGATAATTACAAACCCATCACTGACATTGAAAAAAACTAAAAACCTATGCTGTATTTGTGGTGGGTCAATAATATGATGTATAGAAAGAACATTAAAAAATTTAAATGGAAGGCAAAGTCACTTTAATTTGCCTTTTTAAAAATTCACCATTGTGAATCTCTGCCCATCATGGAGGTAGAATTTTGAGTAGGTCGGTTTTGATCAGAAGGCGCTTTCATTTGCTATCTGGATGGTGTAACTGATGATGTACTCACGTGCATGTAGATAATTAAAATGAGAAACAATTGTTTTTTATCAGTTTGCAAAGTTTCTGGTTTATGGAGTAATACTTTAAGAACATTGTACCAGAATTTGCTTTTCCATATGTTTTCAGAGATTAATAAGGAATTGAGATTCAAAAATTTTGTTTAAAAATGTATATGTCCTGAGGATATGCAATAATTCTTTGATAAAAGAATGAGCAAACTATTACAAATATGTAGGCCAGATACCCTCTCTCTAAAATAATATACAAATTGCATTTCAATTAAATGTTGTAAGCTTTTATTACATTTCATTTAATGCCTTTCATCTTAGGCATTCAGAGCATTTCATTTAACTCTATTCTTATCATATTAGTGAGATACAGTTTGAGTAGTAGTTAGATTTTGCAGGAAGCCTGAGTTCTGAAGGGTGAATGAGCCAGTGCTGTTTTGGTCAATAAATTAAACACTGGGATATTGATGGTTCCTATTAATACAATATCTATTGTGGTTCCTATTAACATGAGATCTATTGTGGTTTTAATCTTAGTAAATATGTATATTAAGATACACTTTCTAGAACAGAGGTTCACTCGTTAGTTTTCAGATCTGTTGGTAGATCTTCCAAGCTGGATTTCCCCCACCATGTTCTTTTCTGTTGTTTACTGGGATTCCTAGTAAGGAAGGAGCACAGCCAGTTCATGTACTCCCTCCCTGATTTGCTAAGATGCTTTACCTTCAGTGTAAAAAAGACTTTATCATCTAAACCTCACCCATCCAGATAACCTCAAGGCTTTAGAAAAATGTGGAAGAATAGATCTTCTGCACTGTTCTAGAATTGAGTTACATAGTGGACAGTACTGATTTTTCAAATAAACAAATGTAGAAAAATCACTGTGCTGTTACATACTTAGAAAAAGAGAAAATTGACATTTTTAAAAATTGGAGTGTAGAGGAAGAATTTACATAAATGTGATGGCTTTCCAAGCT